ACATCCCGGAGGTCCTGGACAACGGAGAGGTAACGGAAGGCACGCACGTCACCGCAGGGCAGCTGACTCTCGTCATGCACTGAACTTTGCGGCGCTCCACCTTTCACTGAGGGTGGCAAGGTGTACGTCCATTTCGAGAGTACCTGACGGGCAAGGGTTGAGGCCCACCATCTCCAAAGGAGGGATGTAACTGCGATCGGACGAGTGTGCTTTTCTTCAACGCAATCTTCTCTTTTTGCAAGCATAGTGACCCTTGAGGTCATGATCCATTCAGGCCAGCCATCACTAAAACTGGTTAAAATTGAAACGAGATCCGCAACGATACGATCACTCAGGAGCTTGAGGTCTGGCACTGACCAACCGCACACCCCTTGGCTGGAGCGTGTCCCTACGCGCAAGTGGCAGATCTGGCCGTGAACACGGCAGCATCCGGCAACAACGCAGCTGGACGACCGGGTCACTGCAGAGCTGGCTTCGAAGCTGGACAGCAGCGCATTGGCGAGCAGCATCGCTGCGCTGCAGAGTTTGCTGACCACGGGTCTCTCGAACAAGGCTGACCAGTCGGCCTTCGGCGTGCTGGAGGGCGTGGTGGCCACGAAGAGCACCCCCGACGGCGTGGACCTGAAGCTGTCGAACTACAGCACCACGGCAGCCATGAACGGCTCCATCGCCTCGACCAACAACGCAACGCTGGCCACGGTGGCAGCCAACTACGGTCTCAAGACGGTGGTGGACCAGCACTCCCTCGACATCGCAGCAAGGATCACGCCGCTGGAGGTCGACACCAAGGTGGCCAACGCTCTCCTGGGCGTCGTGTCCGCCGCAGCGCTGGCCTCCGAGCTCGCAAGCCGAGACGCCTCCATCTCGGGCCTGCAGGCCTCCAAGGCGGACGCCAGCGCCCTGACTGCGTACGCCCTGCTGTCGGCCGTCGACACTTCCTCGGAGGTGGACTTGAAGATCACAGCAGCCCTCCTGGACGCAGTCACCACGGCAGCCCTCGACGCCGCCCTCGTTGGCAAGGCGGACGCAAGCGCGCTGGCCACCCTGCTTTCCACGGTGGACGGGTTGGACACACCGCTGGAGGTAGACACCAAGATAGCAAATGCCCTGCTGGGTCTCGCCACCGAGGCCTTCGTCGCAGCGCAGCTTGCTAGCCGGGATGCCAGCATCTCAGCGCTCCAGGGCGCCAAGGCCGACGCGACGCTGCTGGCCTCGTACGCCACGAGCTCGGGCACGGTCTCCGACTTCTCGGACGACACTTTGACGAAGAACTGGGCGGGCTGGAGCAAGGTGCAGATTTCCAACAACAGCGCGGCCTCCGACAGCGGCCCGGAGCTGCAACCAGAGCGCGCGGGTCTTCCTGAGCGAGACGGCGGGGCGCACCAGTGCGAGCTCATCATGATCAACGACGAGGCACTGGCGCAGACGAAGAGCCTCTCGACGCAGCTGTCCCTCACCACGAACCAGTGGAACCCCGGCTGCCTGGTGATCGCCGGCAACACGGGCAACGTGGTCTGCAACACCAGCCGCACCAACTTGTCGGACAGCTGGGTGAAGACGGAGATGGCCGAGGCCGACTGGCAGAGCTCCTGCAGCTCTTCGACTCCGTGGAGGCCAAGCAGCACAAGCGCCCCAACATGAACGGGGACCTGACACTGGGCTTCGCCTCGGACGACTTTGCAGGAACGTACAAACAGGCTTGCCTCCGCCACTTTTCGCGGATAAGCAGCCTGCTCGGTTTCGAGCCGCACAAGGAGGCAGTGGCTTTTCTGAGCGCCATTTGCCCCAGCATGCGCGGCATCTTGCAGCCCGCTGGTATTTTTTTCAGCAGCAGTACCAATTCAGTGTCCAGCCACTTCAATGCGATCGGGTTTCTTTCCGTGTTCCGCAGGTGAGTGTCCCGACTTCTGCTTCAGGTTGCAGGAGGACCAGCGTTCCGAGCGTTGGCGGCAGGCTTTCAGATTATGGGACGCTCTCCTTCAGCGACATTATGCCGTGAGCCCAGTGGTACAGCAACTGTTTGCAAGCCAGCAGCGGGAGCGTTTGTCAAGGCAACTGCTTCAACGCTTGTCGGATACCACAGCTGTTCGATATTTAGCCACTGTATCTACTTTCTTCGATACCTTGGAAGATATGGGGTACTTGCTTCATGCTTCGCGTGTGCTTTCACAGGCAGTGGTATTTGATGCTCTAATGATGATGGTCGAGGGGCAGGCAGATCCTGAAGCGACAGTCGAAGCGGCCCCTAGGGTCGATATCAGCAACCAGCTCAAAGCACTCCGCTGGTATGTTCGGGCGCTTTCCATTCCTGCGCCGGATTTGTATCAGGGCATTTTTCTTGCCACCAAGCTTCCCGAGAAAGAGCGTAGGGAACCCCTGCCACTGCCGCTTAGCTTTGCGAGTTACCTCGAGCAGTTGATCTTGAGCCCACAGTGCGAGCCGGCCATCGCCAGGGCGGCAGGGGCCATCTTGCTCTGTGTGGGGGCTTCGCTTCGCTTTAGCGACATGCAGCATGTTCGTTGGTCATCTTTGGTGCTTGACCCCACTTGTTTGAGGGGCGCCTCATATCGTACAAAAACAGGGGTTGGAGTGCCTTGGATTTGTTCCCTTCATTTTTGCAACTGTGACAGGTCGGGTTGCTTTCCGCCATTTGGGAAGATGTGCAACAACAGGTTGATGCTTCCGTCGACCCAGACTGCTTGCTGTTTTCCTATGCTGACGAGACTTTTCAGCCAGCTTCGTATGCATCGGGCACTCGCATTTTGAGATCTTTCCTGCAGGATTATGGTCTTTCCGAGGTGGGTGCATTGCAATATACTTTTCATAGTGTCAAGGCCACTATGCTTAGCTGGATGAGCCAGTTGCAGATCAGTGATCGCAGCAGGGCAGAACAGGGGCACCACAAGCTTAAAGATAGTGGCTTTACGGCCGGGACGATGTCTGGAACAGCCTTGCTGCTCAGCTTCAGGTCTGGGACCGCATTCGGGCGGGCTGGCGCGTTCCCATTCACAGAGGAGGACAGCTTCCAGCTCAGGACCAGCCCCCGGTCACGTTGCTTCCCGCTTACGCAAGGTCCGCGCTTGGGCTCTTCGTCTAAGTGGAAGAACCTGACGGGGACCGCCCGGTGGAGCAGATGGTCACCCTCGACTACTCGCAGCGTGCTCTGGGGGGCGCGCAAGGGCTTCCAGGCCAGGCTGGACGAGGTGGAAGCCTGGCAGGCCCAGCGGGGGCCGAAGAACAAGTAAACATGGAGGTGCTGAGAGATCTTGCCGACGACTTCAACGTGCAGGACCCCCGTAGAGGCAGCGAGACCTCGACGTGACGCAGGCCATGGCCTTCAAGGCGCTCAAGGCCGACGTGGGCCGGCAGGTGCAGGCGCCCCGGCCACGGGCGCTGGCGGAGGGGCCGAACGACCGGCTGCAGGCGGACCTCATCAACTTCAGCCAGAACACGCGGGGGAAAACGAAGTACGGCCTGGTGGTCATGGACGTCTTCACCCGGGAGGCTGCTGTGGAGCCTCTACAGAACAAGAACGCCGAAGCGGTCGGCCGGGCCACCAAGCGGGCGGCCCGGGAGCTGGCGGGGGACAACAAGAACTTCGTGGTCACGACGGACCTGGGCAACGAGTTTGCCACGCTGGACCGGGAGCTGCCCGATGAGGCGGTGCACCGCACCAAGCGGCCGGAGGACCGCAACGCCATGGCAGTGGTGGACCGGGGCATCCAGACCCTCAAGAAGGACCTGGCTACCAGGGTGGCCCGCAGAGGCGGCCAGTGGAGCGACCACTTCAAGCAGGCCGCGTCGGCCTACAACGCGCGCCCCCACGAGATGGTGCACGGCGGTGTGGAGGTTGTCGAGAAACAGCCGGCCACCGAGTTCAGGGTGTTGCAAGACAACGCCGACAGGTTCCAGCACAAGAAGGACTTGACGAACCGGCGCATGAAGGCTGTGGAGGACGCGGGGGCGTTTCGGGCGCCCACCAACGCGGCGAGGAGCTTCAACCCCCAATACGGCGACGTGCAGCGGCTGGCGGCCGTGGACTCCATGACCGTGCGGAGCACCGAGGGCCGGGAGACCCTGCTGAAGCTGGCCCTGCCGGCGCCGCAGGGCAGCGGCAACGCGGCGGCGCGGCTGACGAGGCGCGGCAGGCCAGCTGAGGCAGCTGGGCGACTCCCTCAGGCGGCCCAGAAGCGATTCGGGCCGCTGACCTTCTTGAGCAGACTTGACGGAAGCAACATGCCTTAGCTTGTGGAGAGAAGTTTTAGCCCAAACACGACTTTGCGAATCTCGACCTTAGAGCGATCCCTGGACCCCGCCCAAAACGGCCATTCAGTTTGTGGATGCAAGCCTGACACCCATGGAACATGTGAAGCCTGTTGTGACCTTAAGTCCGCCCTGCTCCCACCTGCTAGCGCGATTTTTGTACACTCACAAAAGTTTCAGCACATCCAGCTGCGCAATGATGGTCTCGCAACTCATGAGAGAGTATTTCTTCTCCTCCTGACGTCTGGCCCATGTCTCGTTTGTAAAGGACTGCCAGCCTTCAGACTCACTGCCTTTTTCTTTCCATAACGACATTGCGCAGCAATGAACTCGAGCTTACCAGTTGCCTTGCATCTCACAGGGATCAAAAGGTCGTGGTGAGCCGTTGCAAAATTCCGGTTGGACTTGATGGCCTTCCCAACGTCACTCCGTCACTCATGACAGTTGCTTCATTGCCTTGGCCGCTTGGATATTCCACACCATCACTCCAGCAAACTTCGAACGGCTCCAAAACAGCTCGCAAATGTGGATCCTCCGTAGGGTAGATCTCCAAAAAAGGGACCCAGGTGACTTCAGCACTCAGGTTTCTTGCTATGCAGTGAAGGCGGAACCGCGTTGCCAGGGAGCTTGCAACCAGCTCTTCCCACTTCTCCCCCCTTTTAGTGGCACCCCTTGTTGGGCTGTTGAGCAATTCAAAGAATCTGGCAGGAGCCCCTCCAGGTCAATGTTCAGCTCTTTCAAATCGTTTCGGATGGCGTCTTTGATATTGGTATCCTCACACCACCACAGCCGTGGAACCAGTACAGACTTGTTGTTTGGAAATGCTGCTCCGGCCCTGAGATGTCTGACCACCTCAGTGAGGTTCCGGGCACAAGCTGGCGGCCTTCTGCAGGCCATCGAACCGCCGAGCAAAGAACCAACGCCAAAGCCACTTCTGGCTGATTGAAGTAGGGGGCTGCATCCGCATACGAGCTTCTGAACTCCTGCGACATGGCATTGAGTGCAACCTGAGCAACCGACCAACAAAAACGATCCCATACCAGCCCACGCTCCCATGCCTGAGATCTTGTTTTGGACCTTTTAAACTTTCTCCATGCTGTTTCGCGTCTTCGGAACCTGCACCACCTGTACATGCACATTCTTAAACACTTTGTCTCGCCCCTGTGCCATCTCCATGAAGGCTCTGAACTCCTCTCCTGACTTGGGGGCGAACTTTGCGGGGTCTCCCGTAGTGAAAAAAGAGAGAGTGAAACTGTACTGTCCCTTGCAGTGTTGGAAAATGTCCCGCAGCGTGTCTAGAAAGCTCTTTGCGATGCTGTGCTTGGGACCAGTTGTCGCGGAGATGCCATGATTCAAGCCTAGCAAGTAATCGACGCCTGCATACCGTTCCGGGCTTTGCAGAAGGCATTTCTCAAGGCTGCCGTTCTTCACGGCCTGGCTCCATTTTCGCTCGAATATGTCCTTAGTGTCGCACCTCAGCAGCTGCAAACCCGCGTCAATAACCAAAGAGTTGCACGGAGTCCGTTCCCAGTTGGCTTTGCCTTGCGAACTCTTGTCAGTGATGTGGTAGGCGTCAAACTTCTTCGGAAACCACGAGCAGGTCAGAAGGGGTCCAAGGAAGTCTTCAAACCAGTACCTGGCACGTGGATCGTTCTTGGTCCAGAGGTCAGCAAGCTTGTCATAGTGCTTATCTGCTATCACCTCTGCGGCCTTGGGGGAGACAACTTGGGCCGTGCCAATTTTGCCGTCCACGGTGACGTACGTGAAGAGCCTCGTCAACAGCTTGTTGCCTTGGTTGTCGAGAACACCGCCAAAAGCAGGCTGCAAGCCCTTCCAATCGTCAGCTTGATTTTTCTTGATCCTGAAGGTACTTGCGGAAGCCTCCATTGCCGTCCAACAGGGCACGCAGGTTGCCTCCAACATATTGAAACCTGCGCAACACCGTGTCCTTGTCGACTGGAGGCTGTGCAAAATGCACATAGGCCAGTTCCAGCTCAGCCTTCTTCCATTGTTCTACGTACACACAAGCCCCACCGCTCTTCACAAAATCTGTGTAGTGCTCTCTGTCCGGGCTGCAGGCCTTGACCGTCTTGGCCGGCAGCTTCCCCGTGGTCTCCTTGCCGTAGGTATCCACTAAATACCAATTGTCGCTGTTCTGCAGGTGCTCGCAGTCGCTTGCATCCCACTTGCCAATCGGCAGGCTGTGCCCTTTCCAGCGGCCGTCCTCGTGCTTGCTGAAAATGAAGACCTTGAGGCCCTCCCGGGCCTCGAAGACGATGGCCTCGGGCTCCTTGATCCAGTCCGGGCGGTGGCCCGACACCAGGTGCCACAGGCCCAGCGCCAGGGACCTGCTCTTGCCGATGCCGGGGGTGCCCAGCATGGCCACGCGCCTCGCGAAGGTGGCCTGCCAGGCCTGGCGAGTCGTGTTCCGCGTCAGCAGCTTCCGCCCGCTCAGGTCGTAGGGCTCTGCGGGCAGGCACGTCTTGAGGTCGAAGACCTGCACGCCTCAGCATGGCTTCAGCAAGAAAAGCAAAACTGATCCGCGGTCCTCCCGGCCTTCGCCGAGGTCCTTGGGCTTGGCCTTGACCAGCTCCTGGATGAACGCCGTGGCATCTGGGTCGTCCTGCAGCCGCGAGCACACACGGGACGCGAGCCATGACACAAGCCGTCCTTGATCCCGCTTGCCTGCACGGCATACGACGGACAAGACAGGAAAAGATGACGCATGAGCTGTTCGAGAATCGAGCATCAACGAATCAACGACTGGAACAAAAAGTAAAACAGCACAATCCAGCATGGACACAAAGCTGGGGATGCATGACCTCAACCATCCATTCGTGGGGCTCCACAGTGAGTCGCATCATGCGCCAACAATGCAGCCAGCTGAAGCCCAAAAAATGCACTGTGCTGTGCCCAAACGCGATCTTGGGATTTCATGGTTCTGTGGATGCGATCACAGCAGAAATACATTGTGCACACTTTAGCAATCTCCTCCATGCTCGTGCTGTCGGAACAAAATTTAACCTTCGGATTGCATTGTGTCTGCAGCAGTAACGACCATGGCAGAAGGGTAGGTCTTGCTCTTCAAAAGGCAGGCGACTGGAACAGCAGGCTCTTCAATATTTGCGGGTTCCCCCTCAACTGTTTGATAGTTTTGCGCTCCACTAACCACTCACACCAAATTATGCAAATATGAGCGGGTACATCAAAAATTGAACAATAGAAGGGGATGGAATGGCAGCAAAACGGGCCAAACCATCGAGCAAGAACACTGCCAGTGGATGCAAAGCCGGGAATGGTTGAGCTCACTGCATCAAAGAGAACATTCGTAAAATGCACGTGTGCCTGCAGCAGCAAGGGCCCCAATGGGTGCAAAGACATCAGAGTTTGCCCTCCCTCTCCCCGGCAGACGGGCAGGTCTTGCTCTTTCAAAAGCAGGCTGGGGGCAAGCGCAAAATCACTCACAACGATCAACGGCACGTCTCAATCAATGTCGACCAGCAGGAATGACCGACCTCCAACAAGGAAAGGCAACCATCCGTTCATGGGGGCTCCATACCGAGCCTGCCAACGACACGAACCGCCGCAATCTGCAAAAATGCTATCTTGGGATTTCCTGGTTCTCTGGATGCGATCAGGGCAGCCCCACCAAAACCATGTGCGGGCCGCGCGGGGAATTTCAGAACCGCACGCAACGATCAGAGTCCCAGAACGCAGCCGGCCGGCGGAAGCGACCGACTCCGCCCGCCTCGGACTCCTTCGTCCGGCCGCTTGCCTTCGCCTCCTTGACCTCCTTCTTCGCCCTCTCCACCTTCCTTTCCGCCTTCTCCACCTTCCTTTCCGCCTTCTCCACCTTCCTCTCCGCCTTCTCCACCTCCTCCTTGGTGCCTGATTCCTCCGCCTTCTCCAATCTGGCGACGGCTTTAACTTCCTGCTCCTGGGCAGCTTCTTGCTGCGCGAGCGCAAGCTTCAGCTGCTGCCGCGCCAGGAGCAGGTCCTGCCCAGCAAGACTCACACGCCGAAGCAGCGCGCACAAACAGACGGCCTCTTTCAAGCCCTTTGAGGCTGCTTTGGCCTGTGTCACAAAGAATGCCACGACATGTGAACTCACCTTTTGGCAAAAGAAGCAAACAGTCCTGCCTCCTCCACAAACTCGCGCAGTTTTTGTTGTAACTCTTCTTTCAGCCCTGAAAGGGTCCACTTCCCTGGATATATCTTCTGCGCTTTTCCTGAGCTCAACACTTTCACCGCTCTTGCAACCCCGACCCACGTGCTGCTCCAGCGGCGCAAGACGGCTTTGGTCTCTTTCGCCGTGCCGTTGTCCTCCAGCACCCTGTCGGCTTCTGCGACCACCTGAGCGAGGCCAAGCTGGGACGTCGCTTTCTCTGAAGGCCCGCCGCCTCCTCGAGATCGAGCCGGTCCTGACAACCAACAAGCCCAACGTTCAAGCCCGATGCACGTGTCCCCCAGGCCTGGCCACTGTTGTCCTGGCGGCAACCGGCAAAAGATGCGAACAGGCTTCGGGTCGGAGGAGTCCTCTTGCGCAGCCCCGGCGCGCCGAGCGACTCCGGCATGCAACGGGTGCCGTTTTGCCTGAAAGAGCCAAAGTGCAATCTGCTTGCGCCTGCGGGCAACTCTGAGAACTGGGCCAATATGCTGTCCTGGCACTCAGCACGAAACAAGAACATCCAAAGGAGGGACTTCATGCTCCTTCAGCCCAGGAACTCCTCGAGCAAAGTCCTGGGCGGCGGCGACAAGGGACTCCTGAAACCCGAAAACCTTCGAAAAAAATGTGTCCCAAGACCCAGGCCGTGCTCGGCTGCACGAGCAGCGCCAATGCAATCCCGAGAAGGCAGAGGCACATACCTGGCCGCTGCCTACCGCGGGCACGGTAGCGTCACAAGCTTGCCAGCCTCGGCTTTTGGTCCTGGTCCGCATCATCGCCATGGCTATTCGAAAAGCGCTTGAGCGGCCTGCGATTCCTCAAGCACTGGCACTAGACCCATTGGGCAACCATTGCGAGCTGTTGTTGTGTCAGTGTTGATGAGTACCCTCGAGCCAAGTTTCCAGAGCAAACACAAGATTGACTGGCTTCTTTGGCAACACCAACGCACGGGTTTGGATGCTCCTCCTCCTTTTCACTCGCGGCCTGAAGGTCGGTCGGGCCAAGCCTTGCAAGGCTTCGCAGCGTCCATCCGTCAGACTGGCTGACCCACATCCTGCCGCTGCATCAAAGTCCAAGCGAGATACCAAACTGGCCTGCCTGCAAAACAAGCAGCCGAAATCGGCACCGGGCCGCCAGAACCTGAAGGGCGGGGGTTTCTGGGGTCCCTGCTCCCTGGGATCACTGGGGCCTCTGGGGTCCCTGGGTCCCTAGGGTCCCTACATTCCCTAGGGTCCCTAAGCTCCCTAAGGTCCCGGGTCCCTGCACACGTGTGCATCAGACGTCTCGCCCATCCCTGTCAACGCACGGCGGGTTCAGGGACCTTGGGGACCTTAGGGACCTTAGGGACCTTAGGGACCTTAGGGACCCTAGCAACCCTACAAACCCTAGGGAACCTAGGGACCCTAGGGACTCCGAGGACTTCAGGGACCCAGCGACCCAGGGACTTCAAGAGATCCTTGGTGGCCCCAAGGATTTTGGGGCTTGAAGGGATCTTGGCAAGAACTTCACGCCGGGTACCACTCAGCCTGGGCATTCTCCGGCATCATAGGGTCATGCAAAAACACAAAATGCCGAAGCCAAGACACACACACACATTGCAAATGGGCCACAACACCACAACATCATCTCCCAACTACAAACACGAATGTAGAAAACACCATGTAGAGACATACCAACATAAAGGCACAAAGACATAAAGATATAAAGATATAAAGAGAAAGGTATAAAGATACAAAGATATAAAGATATGAATTTGTAGAAATACAAAGATATAAATATGAAAATTCATAAAGAGATACAAATACGTAGAGATATGAAGATATAAATGTATGAAAATAAATAGATATGAGTACACGAAGATAAATAGATGTATGGAAAGTTGCTCGAATGGAAAAACAACAGAAGTGTTGCCCTTCCGCGTCTTTGTGTCCCCTTGCGTGGCAAGCTGCAATCAACCGAAGTCTGAGAGATTACTTCTTTTGTTTCGGGGTCCCGAAGGTCCCTGGGGTCCCTAAGGTCCCTTAGGGTCCCTTAGGGTCCGTAAAAAAATGGTAAAAGGAGAATTCAAAGAATTATTATTTCTACTATTTTTTCCAACAGCAACACAACAAACAGAAAACAAAATCCAGAACAACAAGCAAACAAAATACATAATCACAACCAACAACAAACATATTTAATCACAGCATACAACATTAAAGAATTCAAACAAGCATACCGACAAAACAGCAACACTCTAAACCATCAAAGACACTCAACTCAAAAACACACATCAACAAAAATCAAAGCAACATACCAACAAAAAAATATCATAAGAGTATCAAACAAAACAAAAAAAACGGCCAAAGCACGAAAAAATCAAAAGAGCACACCAAGTCTAAACAACGCACTTTGAAAGAGATAAGCAAATTAGGAAAATATAATATTTCAATCTTTACCAACGATAAATATAATATAAGTATAACATATAGTATTTTACATGTGATAATTATATTTCAATTAAGAATTAAGGATTTAAGATAACAGTCAGGCAATATGTCTTCAAATATGTAATCTACATATTTATCAATATCACCAATGTCTGTATATTTGATGTTGTCTTTTCCTATTATTGAATAAATATATTCCCAAAAGAATACATACAGCAATAGACATACTTTATATTTAGTGTTGTAGTAATACCATACATGATATTTAGTTATTCTAAATTCATTCAAGACCTCGTTGATTTTATCTTTGCTTAATAAATGCCAATCAATCTCTTCAAACAAATCACGAAATTCTTTAGCAAATGATTTATATGGTTTAATGCTTAGTTCTCCTCCAAACCTTTTAATCAAATCTTTATTATTAAAAAACTCATCTATTTCTTTTCCAAATGACTCTCAATCAATTTTATGGTAAAAACATACAGGAAATCGTTTTTGATATCTCATAAAGAATTTCAATTTTAATTGAAACTTTGTATATCCCTTATCCTTATATTCTTCAACAAACAACTTTTCAAGGTCTCTTGTTATACAGCATTGATTACAATACACATCATATTCACATATTTTATTACACAGATTAGCAGGTAATAAGTTATACAATGTAAAATTAATATCATTCATTTTATTATTACAACATTCACACTTACTATAATTAAACAGTGTCCTTTTTCCCTCAATATATTAAGTCAATATTTCTTTAAATCGTTTTCAAAGAATTTATTTAATAATGGCCGTAAGCAAGTGAGTTTATACTATCTATCCAATATTTTTTGTTTTCATAACTACTAAGAGCAATTTTTCCCCGAAAGCATGGCGAAGGGTTCTTCCGCTGGGTTCACTTGAGTTGTTCTCATGAGAGTCATTACAAGGTGTCATTGCAAGGAATCATCATCATGAAAGTCAATGCAATGAGTCATTGCAAGGAGTCATTGCAAGGAGTCATTGCAAGGAGTCATTGCAAGGAGTCATTGCCAGGAGTCATTGCAAGGAGTCATTGCAAGGAGTCATTGCAAGGAGTCATTGCAAGGAGTCATTGCAAGGAGTCATTGCAAGGAGTCATTGCAAGGAGTCATTGCAAGGAGTCATTGCAAGGAGTCATTGCAAGGAGTCGTTGCAAGGAGTCATTGCAAAGAGTCATTGCAAGGAGTCATTGCAAGGAGTCATTGCAAAGTGCAAGGAGTCAAGTGCAAGTTGCAAGTGCAAGGAGTCAAGTGC